TATAGCATACATTGATATGTTATGTATCCCTAAATCCTCCCACACGACAAATTTACCCGACAAGGCTCTGATTGGTTAAAATTCTCGTCCTGTTGTGTGCGGTATTTCATACTTGTCCTGTTAAGCTCGTCCTGTCATGCTCGTCCTGTCATGCTCGTATAAACATGATGAAACGCTATCAACTTAAATCGTTCATTGTCCAATTTGCCACTAACACTCAACTTCGTCTTAAACCTGCTTTCGGGCGGGGGGCTATCAAGGCCGTCAACTACACCATCCCACACCTCGGTTCCACTGTGGCACAGTCCAATTCAGGGAATCGACCGAGGCAACGGGTTAACGGAGTTCTTGTTGACGGAGTACAAAGGTTATCCTTTGCCTTGGTAGACTAGGCTTTAAGTATTTTGCTTTGGCTATTGCAATTACGATCGTGAACCAATTAGCAATTTAAATTAACGAAGTACGCACACAATAATATTCAACTTACAACCTATTTTCTCGCTTTCTCTTCCTAACTTCTTGAAGCAAACCCCAGTACGAATCTGCATGACCACCGTAATCATTCTCAAACTGAGCATAGCTCTGATACTTGTTGAAAGCAGTCGCCAGGGTCTGCCGCTCGGAGTACTTTCGACGGTCACTCTTGATCATTTCCTTGGAATAGTCCTTGAGGGCACAGTAAACACATGTTAATTCAATGTTGCTCCCACGACAAGATCCTCGTCCAATGATTAGGCGTCAAAAGCCGTTGACGAATCAAGTCACGATTCTTGTGTCGGGCAGCCAATGGTTCTCCTGAAATTGTCGGGTACTTGTCGGGTGTGTATTTTATGTTATACTTCGAAGTAATTTTCTAACATTTAAATGTCATATTTTTAAAAAGTTATGCAACCGTTTTGTGTGGAGTCAAGCAACTCAGCACAATCGATTGAAGACGATGCCAATCCTTCAAAATGGCAATTAAAAGTAGTGCACCGCTGCTTTCTTCCTCAGGCTGAACGCAATTTGATTCTAGCGCGTTGTATGGTGATGATGAACAACGTACTGCCATATCGTTTGAGGATTGTAAAGTTGATCATTTCCCGCAGTCTCCAGTGCAAAGAACAGGTTTGGCGAAGCAGCACAAAAGTCCAAATTCTGGGTAAATGGACAATACAAATGCATAAATGATTGATTAATTTGAAATATCCAAGTAGTAATACTCCAGACTACTAGTAAGAATTAGTACTACTAAATGTAACTACTAAATATAAATAGTAGGTCCTAGATGTCTTGGGCCATTCGACCAATCAAATGCTAGGGATGCTGAAGTCATTCAAGAGCAACAAGCCATGGGTCTTGACAGTGAACCTGGTCGTCGGAAAGCGTCTGTGCGACGACCACTGCCGCTTCTGCAAGCGATCGTGTTCGTGCTTGTCATCACGTGCGTCGTAGTCAACTTCTCCTACTTTTCCACGCGAGTGGAGCCTCTTGGTCCCCGCATCGCGTTAAGCAAGACGCAGCATGCCATGCGTGGGTTTGTAGTGCCCATGTTCGACGCCATGATTCCCATTGGCGTCTCCCTCATCCAGGAACTGCGTCGATACGGCAACAACGACGTCATCCAGGTGTATCATTGCCTCGGGGAACTGTCTCCGCTGTCGATGCAACTTCTCCATCGCGCGGACGACTTCATCGAGGTGATTGACGTGTGTCACGAGTACGTCACGCAGGGCAACTTGACGCTGGAGCAGGCCAAGGACTTCCGCAATTTCTACATTAAGCCGTTGGCGCTCATCCACACGCGCCTCGAGGACGTCATCTTGCTGGACGCGGACGACATTCTGTTCTCCGACCCGGCGGCGCTCTGGAACGTTCCTGCGTACAAGGCGACCGGGACGATTTTCTTCTACGACCGCGAAATCAACGAAAACTCGTACTTGAATGGAAAGCACCGGTGGACCAACGACGCCGGCGTCGACGTCGAAGAGAACACACTGCAGGAAATGGTGCGCATGTTTGAATCCGAGCGCTTTGGCTTGCGGCGCAACCAGCCGTCCGACCACGTGCGAAACTCTCTGCCATTCAACAGCCAAGGCGCGCACGAGCAAGACTCGAGCGTGGTGGTGGTGGACAAGCGGCGGCACCACATCGCGATGGACGTGCTGTGGTTCTTGATCACCGCATGGCGGTACCGGTTCACATACTCGTGGGGTGACAAGGAGAACTTTTGGCTCGCGTACGAACTGAGCCAGTCGCCGTATTACTTTTCTCCTCATGGCACGTCGGCGGCAGGGTACATACGACATACACTCCCATGTTTTTCCCGATTCACGACGGGGAGTTTCACCAATCGATCGTCCTAGGGGACGCCAAGGCCACGACGTTCAAACCGTGTGTGGGGACATTGCCCACTTCTTCCCCCTGGACGGCCGCGACGACATTCTGCACATTAACGGCAACAAACTCATCAACCCGTACACCAAGATCGACGCCGTCAACGGCTACGACCATTCGTTTCAAGCGAGCAAATTGACCGATCTCGTCGCCAACCTGCCGGGGTACTTTGCCGGCCTTCGTCGGCGGGGACCCACGCCGATCATGCAACCCAATAGCAGCTGTCCCCAAGAGTGCATGTACCAGCGGGGCGCCGTCGCCGTGACGAATGCGCAGCGCCAATCGATGGTCCAGCGCATCTCCGACACGTTCGAAGTGGCGGCGGCGGTGGACCGTCATGTGGTGGTGCAGCAGGGCGTGGTGCTACCCATCGTGACGGACGCGGACGCGGCGCGGGCAGTGTCTTCGATCAACCAATTGCGCCGGGTGGGGTACCAAGGATGGGTGCAAGTGTATCACTGCGCGGGGAATTTTCCCTCGCATGTGCTGCAAACGTTCGTTCGGATTGACGCCTACGTGCAGGTCGTGGACGCGTGCCAGGGATTTATCCTCAACGGCAACCTGACCATGGATCAAATCCCAGACTTCCAAAACAGCTACTTGGCCCCCCTCGCGTTGATCCACACAAGCATGTCGCATGTGGTGGTGCTCAATGTACACGCAGTCGTACTACAAGACCCCACGGCCGTGCTGTGGTCGGACGTGCTGTACAGTGAGACGGGCACCGTCTTCTTTCATGATCATCATGATGCCACCTCGAAATCGTTCCTCAACCATCCTGCCACCTACATCGACGAGCGAGGCCGATCGGTGGCTGGCACGGCGCTCGAGGCGGTGGTGCACACGTTCAACTACTCTAAGTTCAACCTGGACGGACCGAGGACTCTGTCGCCGTCGCTCAAGGCGTCTCGGGCGTGGAACCACCAGAGTGCATCGCGACAAGATAACAGCCTCTTTGCCGTCGACAAGTCACGCGCGGACAAGGCCATGCAAGTTTTATGGGAACTCATCACCACCACCCGATTCCAACACGGGTACTCGAAAGGCGCCAAGGAAAACGTGTGGCTCGCGTACGAGCTGAGCCAGTTGCCGTATGCGTTTTCAAAGTTTGGCGCGTCCTACGTTGATGGGGCATCCCCGTGGACGGCGCAGTACGGACCAGCCAAAGACGACGAGCTGCTCGTGGTCATGACGGCGTTATCGGACGTCGCATCCATCGACGACCTGCCCGCGAACGTGTGTCGCCGTCGACTAGTAGACACGACGGACGACGCGACATGCTTGGACCAGCACAACGAAGGCGCGCAACGCCTCACGTATAGCCAAGTGCAAGCGCTTCAAGTTCGGTGGAGTAATACCCACCCTCGCCACGCCCCGTAGTATTGTGATTCATGCGCCAAGAATAAGAACATAAATAGAAACCAAACAACTTGGCTCTATTGATTCGCAGGCTTGAAGAACATAGCAGGAGGAGAGGAAGATGAGCCAAGCATATTCACATAAGTCTCACATGTTTGTGCACTCATACAAGTATCGTCAAGATTCTGTATGCAGGATGGAAGCACTTTTATGATTCCCACAGTTGACCAAATTTGCACTGGTAAAGTACCCATCGCTCGCTATCAAGCTATGAAGAGAAATGGGTAGCCAACGCTCAACGTTTGGCCATTCAACACAATCCGTCGACAGACCAAAGTACTTTACTCGCTTGAAGAGTCCATCGCGTGTAGAATACTAGTACTGTACTACGCAGTACTTACTACAAACGTCCAACGTGTTTGATTGTACCGGTAAGTTGGATACCTGGAGTTCTTGGTGTATAAGTCTATAGTAAGTTATGTGCACTGTCAGGCTCGTGGTGTATAAGTTGCTTGAACTGTCAAGCGGGTCGAAGCCAGCGCCTACGACAACCACAGCGACCACAATGCGACCATGGTTAGATCGGTTTCATTTGAAACCGACTACGCGAATCGTCCGTTGAAACGCCACTGGGCGTTGACTTGTATACTTAACTGCCTGGAGTTCTCAAAATACAACTAGAAAAACTGCACTCAACGATGCCAAACTGTAGAGCGGTGTCTGAAGCGGTCGCAGTCGTGGTTCCAAAGGTTACACACGATAAGCGGAACTTAGCGTTGCGCGTCGTTGTTGGCACGTTGCACGTCGCTACCACGGTGTACCTCGTCGTGTGGGTGCTCATCATGCTGTTTTCGTCCGGACCTAATGTCGTCACTGCAAAATTCTACCAGCCTAAAGTGACAGCTGCGGGGTACACCATGATTTCGCTCATGCACGTTGGCGCGCTCGTGGTCCCCAATCTGTGTCATCGAAAGCCAGCTGTCACTTCACTGTGGAAGCCTCTGCAGCCCCCGCCTCCACCTGTGACAGTGCGCAGACTCAGTTCCAAAACGCAATCCAGAATAATTGTGCGTCAGCTCTCCAAGCGCGCCGCCACCGACTGGTTTGACCACGTGTTTATCGTGTTCAACTTCATCGTGATCCTTTGCCAAGGTAGACAAGCGTACGAAATGCTGAGCACGATGGTCGACCCAACCAAGGTAGTGTCGTACGCTGCGATTGTGCTCTTGTACTCCGTCTTGTCGCCATGCCTCGTTTTCATCAACAACATCCAAACCAAATACACGCTGGTGTGCTATGCTGACGCGTTGTTCAGTTTCACGCTGTCGTGTGGTCATCCCATGTTTTCCGTGGCGATACAAGCGTTGGAACTCATAGTAGTCAACCCAAACTTGGTCCGCAACAATCGATGGTCGGCTGAGACGTTGCTGTTTGCCAGACTCTTCGGAGTCACGGGCCCTGTGGACTTTTTCGTCAAGCATGTCATGCACCTGTCGACATACTTCACTATCTGTCGGCTCGCAAACACTGCCCATTTGGCAGACTCCAACAAGGATCAATCGTCGGATTTGCAGCGAAACCATCAGAATCGTGTCATGCGACGGTTGAACTTGGGTGTGAGCAGTGGATTGGGGGTCGTGTGTGCTATCTTGCTGGGACGCTGTATATTGTATCGAGAGCCATGTCCGTCGTACTGTGTGTCGAACATGCAGCCGCTGGTGGACCTCGGGTGTCACTGCGCCTACGTCAACATCAACTGCCACACCCTTGGCATCGATGATCCCACCCCCCTCTTGGATCCGACAATCATTGGCACGAGGTTGGTGTACATGCAATTCTCGAGATGCGATTTGGAAAATGGCCCCAACGCCACCTCGATGGTGCCATTTCAACAGCTCACCAAGCTCATGGTCATATTTTCCAACATGTCGTCCTGGACTGGCCCTGTACCGGCATCAGTGAACAACATCTTGGTGCAGTACAGTCGGTTGGAAACGATTCCTCATGCACTGCTTTACGATATTCCCCCCGAGATGGTGACTATACTCATCGACGCAGCGCCACTAAAAACTATTCCCGACAACGTTTTCAACGCTTGGAGTTTTGTGCAGCGGCTGCAGCTGTTGAATGTAAGTCTCACGACTTTCCCCAATGGAATACTGAGTATGCCACACCTCACCGAACTCAACCTCCGGGGCAACAACATCACGTCGATGTTTCCAGAGTCCGCATGGCCGTCACCTCTTACGATTGCTGGCTTGGCTGGGAATGGGCTTAAGTCTGTGCCATGGACTGCTGCCAAACGTGGAGTGATTATCGATTTGAGTGGCAACCCGATCGAAGATGCCACCACCTTGGACGCTGCCGAACTCAAACTTGTGCATCGGCGAAGTGTCATTCTGGACGACACACCGTACTGCAATGTCACTCAGGACACCACGTGTAAATACAAGTGCGCCCCAAGTTGCTTTGCGTTTATGGTGGGTGACTACTTCTGCGACTTGGCGTGCTTTACACCTGCGTGTGGGTTTGACAAGGGCGACTGCGACGGATTTGGCTTCTCGTGATCGTAGCGCTTAACTCTCCGTTTCAAATACTCTAGGAAGGCATCCAAACTACTCTTCTCAGCTTTTTAAGCTCGCGTTTGCAAGGGTCAAAAAGTGTCTCTTGCTTTAACTGTATGGTGAAATTTCACCATTTCTGATCAAAAGTGTGGCAGGGCATTTGAAAAGTGTAAGCTGGAAATCCGAGCGAAAATAGAAAAGTTCGCATCAAGCTAATCAGATTTCATTTTAAAAAATGAAATCTGATTAGCGAAAATAGAAAAGTTCGCATCAAGCTAATCAGATTTCATTTTAAAAAATGAAATCTGATTAGCTTGATGCGAACTTTTCTATTTTCGCTCGGATTTCCAGCTTACACTTTTCAAATGCCCTGCCACACTTTTGATCAGAAATGGCCAAATTTAATGACGTGTATCAGAAATGACGACCAAAGAGTCATAGTTAGCATGTATGATTAAAAAGGGTTAGTAGACAATGTTTCAACAAACGACGATGCGTTTGTATTCAATTTACACGAAGTGCCTTGGCAAATGCCTGTCAAATGATGTCAGCAGTGACCATATCCCATGCAGCAATGACACGCAACGCCATGGCCATTCGCTTTTGACGAGCAGTTGGTGAGTACGGATCTTCATCGTTGTCCCCTTCAAGCTGCTCTTCGTACAACCACAAGTTACGTAGGTTGCGTTTGAACGGCGCCATCACCCTGACGTCAAAGGATTGGCATACCGAGGTTGCGTTCGGCGGTAGCGCACAAATGTGGGAGCCAAGTTCATCATGCATGATCTTGTATGACTCTTCCGAGACGTGGCACTCAAAGTTGTCCATTACTACCACCGACGACACTTCAATAGACTCGCCAATGACATCGCGCAGGTACTGTTTTCACACCACCGCATCCATCCACGCATTCTCCTGCATCGCGTAGTGATGGCCACGAGGAAACGTAGGGTATGCATTGGTTTCGATGCGCCCCCCTGGGACTCCCTTCATGATCAATGGCAGGGGCAGCTTTTGACCGTCCGCTTGGGCCATTGTGACCGCTGTCATGCGCATCGAATGCTTCTCCTCAGTTGAGATCTTGGCGCTTCCACCACAAACAGCCCAAATGTATGTTCGAGGGAGGTTGAATTATATCCCTGTCTCGTCGACATTGAATATGCAGTTGTTCTCGTACGATGGGTACGATGGGTATTCCCGATGGAAGTCGCGGGCAAACTTCGGTACTTCGGTCAGGGCTTGTTCTTTGTTTGACGCTGTCGAGAGAATCCATAGCGCTGGCAGATTCGACGCAGCAGTCGGAGGAGGGAGTCGCATGCGATGTCAGACTTCTTCGTTGCAAGGTACGACATCAACCACGCTCTTTGGTTGATCTTGATCCAGGTGATCATGCGAGCCGTCGTTAGAGCACATTCGTCATCTCGCATTTTGTTTACAAATCCTACAAAACCTGGTGGGTCTGATAACTCTTCGTATCGTCCACCTGATTCGATCTTCTTGTTCTTCGTGTTTCCATCGAAGAAAAGGAGCTCAAAACGCTGAGCGTACCACGATCGTACAGTTCGTCGTGGGACACCCATTAGCTTCGCCACCTCTCGACCAGATAAGATCTCAAGTAGTCCGACGGCTTCGAGCTTAGTTGAGATCAATACGACGCGCGCCTCATATTTCGATGTGCACGTATTTTTTTGAATGCCAAGTTTTTCCCGCTGGCGCGAAGAATAAAAATTCCGCCAATAAGAGAAGAGTATTTCGAATCTTGAGTATCATTGGATGAAATCTATTCTGATACTCAAAAATCTTCCGTCCCAGTATTTGGATTTACCACATCCGCATGAAGAACGATATCCGTATGCTTGCATTTGTGGTGGCGAACGCACACCGTACGTAGTTCCTAGTTGCATTGCGTAAGCTTACTCATGTGGCCCCATTACCACAACTGGCATCACGAAAGGGTCTTGTCGCACACCTCATGGGCCCACGACTTCCCTCTGATACTGGTATTTGCGTGCCACTTTGAGCAAGGGAGTGGCTTTACGAACCGCTTGGCGATTTTGGTTCATGATTACAGCATATTAGATGGACGCAACTGTGTATGCGACTAGTGTATGACCACTTATGTACATATGTGGATGATAATTGGGAATGCTGTGTACGCTTCATGCCACCACAGACGAAACCCCGAAACCGTATTCAAATCATAGAAGTGTGACCAGCTCGTTGACCTAAGGCAATTACGCCGACTGCTCGAGTTCAGGATAACAGGCTGAATGAATCAGACAAGATAAGCTGCACGTAAGCGCCCCCACCTTAACTCTTGGAATGGCCCATCTTAGCGTGCAACAGGCGGGACACGAGGCCAGGTCGGGGAGCGCTGCAACATGGAAGATGGAAGGGTCAAGAAGTGTGCATTATGCGCGACTGGTTCAAATCCACGATTTAAGACAAATGGGGGTGCCCTGGAGGAGGGGTGACCTTATCCATATAAATGGCCGATTTACGGCATCCCGCATAAAATTTGACAGGTCCCGTAAACTCGATAAATTTTAAATAGGTAATTTGAGGGCAAATGCGTGTGAACATGTTCCGAAACCTGTCTATTTTTAAGACATTATGTTGGAGGATGCAAGGTACGTTCATGTCCACATATTCTGCTCGGTATTAGGATAAAATAGCAATGTGAGTGGGTCCAAAGTGACTGACACATGAAACGCACTGCAGCACACACGGGGAGGCTGTTGCACACCGTGCCTACCCCGACAATAAGTTGCTCCCTACGGTTTCCATACCACTACTCAAGCAATGCACTGTATTTTTACAGTGTACAACTATTCCCCCCACTTCGATCGAAATACCCAGGTGGAATTTGCGTAGTGGACTTCGTGTGAAATGATAAGTGAACTTTTTCCTTTGACCTACCTGCGAAAAATCCTTTTCAGGTAAAGAGGTTTTCCACTATATCATGGTATATTGTGTCGTACTGCGTATAACGTGAATCCGCGTCCATGGTATCCTTGGTCGGATAACCGTGAGATAGCCTTACAAACCCAGGGACATACAGTACCTTAAGGGGCATCAGGGCTACCGTCTGGGAGGTGAAGTAGATCATATTTTAGGATGCGTATCAAACTACCGTAACTATCAGCATGTTGTTAGTCGGGAATCAAATGGCAAAGGTTTATCTGGCACTGAAGTCGTTTTATTAGGCAAGAACGAATTGAAAGCTAAGGCTACGACGAAGCCAGCGAGCGGAAACTTAAATGTCATGGAAGCTGCCGAATGACATTGCCCAATCAGGAACGACTATGGAACGCACCACAGTGTCGGCCAAAGGAAAGGCCAAGAAGAAGTCAACAACGACGTCGTCGACAAAGGGGAAGGCGAAGTTGAAGGCACCACCCCGGATCATGGTGACAGAGCAGCAATTGCCGAACACTACCGCAGACGGTAAACAATCTCTGCCCGATGCGGGGAGCGAACCCAACGCGAGCTGTTGCAACGAATTAAGTTGGCATATCCAAGCGATTCGGACGACGAACCCAAGAATGACCTCGATGTGGCCAACCAGCTTATCCAAACCTACATTTCTATTATGGGATTGCCTGCATCAATTTTTTACCGCAGCGTAGGTGGGAAACCCTTGCTGTTTCCACGAAGCACATTGACCTTCAGATCAAGTGTCCCTGGGCATGTTATTAGTTATTTCGTGCCACACAAACTTTCGGTAATAAAGAACCCACCGTCCAAATCGTGTTGACGGACCTGTTGTTCGTCATGTTGTTCAATACAAATATGTGCAGGGCCGAAACCCTTGCTATAATCAGTGAAGCAAATTATCGTGCATATCAACTTTCTACCGAACTATTTTGCCTCATGTGATTCCAAAAAACACGGTGATAGTTCGAAACAACTTCTACTTGACTGACGAACGCCTTCCGAACTGTATACGGAAGTACTGTTCACCGCATCCAACACAGCGGTCGTGCCTGAAAGATAGGTCGACTGCACTCTGACCAACACATCACGAGTCAATCTGCGGAGCTATTGGAGTGCCCGCGAGATGGCGCCGACTGTGTTCTGACCAACATGCCACGAGACAATTAGCAATGTTATTGGACATACCCGCAAGATGGCACCAACATGCATTTTGACATACACGTCACGTGTCAAACAGCGACGCAAATGGATGTTCCTGCGAGGTGGAGCTAACTGCTTTCAAGCCAACGCGTCAAAGACCACATCCTTGCTGAGTTTAGATGCGCGAATTCGTCTTAGCATAGTTGCAAGGTTTCTACCGGAGCCTTTCCTACTTGCAGTGGACCCCACAGCACATGAACTGATTCCCATCTTCAAAATACCGAACCCCGTTCTACCGAGGATAGGAGAGTTTTGAAAACGCATACTACAAACTCATACTGCAAACAGAATATGTCTGAAAACTATGCGAGACACAATATGACGACAAATATGTAGTAACTTGCTCCAACCAACAATTAACTCCGGCAGCAGAGCAACGGGCTCACCTAGTGTATAACGTAAATGACCAATTTATGATCACTTTTTAGGAGTAATCACCATAGAATTCGCATACTACAGTAGTATCTCCGCTCGTAGGAAGGCTTTTCACATTTTGTGAAGTGATTCTTAACAACCAAACACAGAGATTTCACTTCATAATCGAATTATTACATTTCAAGATATTCCTCTACTACAAAAATCCGACTTTCCAAACAAGTTTACTCTATTTTTGAGCACCAATTTAGGATTACTCTTTTAATCTTGAACTGAGTAGACCTCCATGCATACAAATTGCGCGAATATGGCATTCATTATGGTCAGGTAAAGTATAATGTTACAAGGTTATGTATTTAAATATTTGATGGCAGTTCCAACACATGGTCCGAATAACCTGTTTCAATCGTTTCATTTTAGGACAGGTAAGCTGAGGTTAACGTTACTACAGAACTGTAGACTTGGTTGCTGAGTGCCTATAATACGCATAGCCATGGCGTCAGGGTGCGAAAGTATTGGGTAAGGATAATGCTTGGGCACAGGTAGATTGGGGAATACGGTAGGTCTGTGTCCTCTTCGACACCTGCGATTTCCCTGAAAAGCATGCATACTGTACTATCCATGACGAGCAATTAACAATTTTAGGTCATCTGTGGTGCAATTGCCCATTTTCAAGTCGAATATCCAGATGATTCGGCATGGTTATAGTGTGTAACGTATCGAGTTCAAGCAGTATAATATATTGGAGGCTTTCTAGTCGAAAAATTATGCGATGTGATTGGCTCAGAGGGAGTGATCAAAAATTGGTACTGTACAGTGATCATAAATTGGTCATTTACGTTAACTAAACCTTTTTTCTATTGAAACAGACAAATTTTCAATTGATTGGGTCACGCATCCAATGGATTTGCATTTGAGTCCACGTATTTGGCACGCGATCCACTGGAATCGGCACATGCAGCTCGTGTGTCCAATGGATTTGGTACATAAACCATTAAACTCGGCATCCACCCAAACAAACAATCGTCCGTCGCTTGGATTTAATGATGAGTGCAATTGAATCGGTAGAATTGATACTTTCAAAAGCAAAACTCAATTAAAAATTACGCAGATATGCAAACAATGAGCTCGCGGAGCAATCACATGCCGACTTCCATGTCTTCCATGCGCTCAGCACGGCCATAGAAATACTCCAGTCGTAGAGCATAACGGTTCAATCGATGAATGTCGATGCCTAATCAATCTGTCAGATATCAAGCTCATTTCAATAACATACCTCGAATGACTTCTTGAGCCATGTGCTCGAGGTACTGCATTCGGAATTCTTCCCAGGTGAGTCCATCTGGGGGAGGCCCCATGAAGGCGGCAAGGCGTTCACGCAAAAGGGTCTTCACATGCGCCTTGAACTCTGACCACAAGTTTTCGATTGGGTTGAACATGGGGGAGGACGAAGACAAACACAGTAGTGTTGCACTGTCGTACTCCTCCTCTTCAAAAACCTGCTCCAACCTAATCGTATGTTAGAATCAAATCTATCAACATACATGGAGTGACAAGCAGCATTGTCTGCAATAACGACAATGTCGTCGAGTCGTCCAAAGTGTTGAGACGCCGCACGCAACATTTCACGCAGCCAAAGGTTTGCGTCTTGGTGCTTGTACGCCCCACGCTTGTGGCTGCAGAAAAAGAAGTTGGCAGACGACATGGCACCGATCACATGGAGATTATTCCCCTTTTGCGTCCGGCCGGGTCACAACGACAGCGGTCCCACGTCGGGACCGTGCCTTGGTGCGGCAAGTGAACAAGTTGAAGTTTGGCCTCGTCAATCCAGATGGGGATCTTTCCTTGACCCATCAGTTCGCCAAACGCCACAACATACTCGACGCGCTTGTCCTTGAACGATGGATCGCTCATCTGGAGTGGCTCGTAGTGGACGGTCTTATAGGTAAAAGCGCGCGAAGATCTCTCATCCATACTCTAGAATGTTCGAAAATATCGTTTCTACCGATTCAATTGCACTCATCATTAAATCTAAGCGACGGACGGCTATTTGTTTGGGTGGATGCCAAGATTAATGGTTTATGTACCAAATCCATTGGACACACGAGCTGCATGTGCCGATTCCAGTGGATCGCGTGCCAAATACGTGGACGCAAATGCAAATCCATTGGATGCGTGACCCAATCAATTGAAAATTTATCTGTTCCAATAGAAAAAAGGTGTAGTTACATGCCTTCCATATGTGGACGCTACACATGCATTGCAACGAACCAAACGAGCTGAGACAAGGGATACTGGAGTACTAGTAGTAGTGACTATACGTATACTGGTAACGTTAGCTGAAGATGGTGCATCCGTTTGCGGCTTCTGCCAAACTCAACGTCCAATCTAGACCCATTAAACAAAAACACACTGTGGAAAGGTTGCATCCAGAATTGCACATTACAGTTCCCAGCTAAGGCTAGTGGATTACTGGCTGCCAGATGATTAGCTAGTTTAGGCGTAGATAATTCACTTGACAACTCTTAGGGTAATATTTATATTTGAATAGATCCAAACATAAATCTAACCCCAAAAAAGTTCTGTAATAGGACTTTTTCGCCTCGATTTATCAATCAGATTTTTGCTATCCGGATTCATAGTAATATCAAAATTAATAATCCAAAGCAATATTTGGCATAGTAAAATCAAGTTCCATCACAATATACACAAAATAACCATTTTATTGAACTCCAAACGCAATGTCTACGTTGCGGAGGAACGACCACGAGAGGCGACGGCGGCGTCAGTGAACTGTGTGCATGTACGATAACCCCTGTCGATGCCTAATTGGACCTCTGAACGCTACCGACTGTCACATTCATACGCCGAATGGTCGATGTGTCCACCCTGCTAATGCCGCCGCCACAGCCCTCAACATCGCATCGACAACCAAGTCGCCCCGATTCTGAGGGCGGTGATGGCGGCATTGAACGAATTAGTGAGCACGAGATTGTTTTATCGAGTTTATATGATTGGCGATTCTTGGCCAATCAAGAACTGCACGACCCTCCAACCAAACTTGACACGTCAGGTTTGAGTGGCGGGCGGTGCAGTTGTTGACACCTCAGCACTGCCGCGTCTTCATCGAGAAAGAAGATGTCATGCTTCTTCGTCAAGTGAATGCTTACCGCCCATACCAACCGAAGAAGGCGAGGTAATGAAGTCGTGGCAAACCATCTTGCCAGACATGAAGACTTTGGGCGTCCGTCCTTTGACGCCAAAAAAGCACTCAACCGCTTTGGGACATCGCTTCGACGTCATGGGAATCAAGAAGTTGGGCAAGTAGGTAGCCCAACTTGTCTGGGATAACTGGGCACTCAATGTAGCTTAACGCATACATCACTAAGAAATGACGTTTCTCTGCCATTGTTTTCGCGACGGGGGCAAGCAAGGACAATTCCCACTGCGTAAGCACCATTGCAAAGTGATTTCCTACCGTGGATGAATATCCGAATAATATTTCCTTATACGGATATTTGTGAGCAGAACGCCAACGCATTAGTGCAAGACAACTATATTTGATACTCCGTAATATGTACATGAAGCATGGTTCGGATCAGAACGCGACAGCGAACGGACACTTGCAAAAGCTCTCTATTGTAGTGCAAGTTCCGTCGAGGTTATCAAACGATGCCCACCAACCAGAATATGACCCCGAAGGGTTCAAAGGCGTTGTTCCAAAGCTGACCCACGAAAAACGACACAACAATGTGTTGCGCAGCGTCGCTGGCACATTGCACTTCGCTTCCCTGGTGTATCTTGTCATGTGGGTGATCATTGTTCTCTTCACCGCCGGATCTGCTATTGTGAGGAGGTTTTGTGCCTTTTGGAGCCGTTTTGGAGCCGTTTCCTGTTTCCTCACATAGTAGATAATCAGCCATACAATGTATCCACGGTACATCATTATGATACCGTGCCCTGATTGGCTAGGAATTAGCTAGTCTGTCAAGCCCTTAGAGCCGTTGTTCTCACTGGTGACTAAGCTAATTCACTTTCCGTTTCGCCCGCAACCACCCAGTGTTCCCCCCTGGCTTTTGCATCCTCCCACTGGTTATTAGCTCCACCGCATCCTCTGCCGCGGCCCCGTCCCACCATCTACGTCTCCACCACCTTCGTGGACTAGACAACTTCGACGAGTGGCATTTCGAGTTGACCACGATCGTCCTCCAAGGAGAAGGCCTGACAACTCAGGCGACTCAGTGCGCTGGCGTCGATGCCAAGTGGTTCATCAAGGAACTGACGCGTGCATCTCGCGTCCTCGATGCCGACACTAGGAAACTGCGTCGGCACATCGACGACGAAGTCCTCCATCCGTCATCGGAGCCCCCACTTCCACCACCTGTCCTCGATGACGTGGAGCCGAAATTGATCGACCCCATGATGGAATACCTGACCGAACATCGTTTGGTCAAGTTCCTCGAAGCTCGCGCAGCCAAAGCCTCGCTAGAGGAACTCATCAAAACTGAACACGCTGATGTCGAACGATCCATCGCGTTGGTCTATGCGTCGTTGTCGGAGTCAGTGCGCCGCAACGCTGCGGCCGCAAACCTCGTTCCATGCGCGCACTGCATCATAGAGTGGCCCCGCGGCAAGTTCTGCAGCTAGAGCATAAGTCTGCGTACGCTGTGGACGTCTAGACGATGTTCTACGACTTTAAGTTCAAGCTATATTGGTTGCTTGCCTGACCATTTTCTAAAGCTTCGAAAGGAGTGAGAGTACGAGTCTCAGTGACAGCCACCTGGTATCGGTGTTGCTGTCCGCGTTGCCTGAATGCATTTCACACGATGTGCAAGTATGGTGCGGTGATCGACTGAGCATCCCATACACCCAGCTGCGTGACCTCTTGCCGCAGCATTGGCACGAGTTGACCCAGAAATATCCCGATTTCTTGGGGTCCAAACCGACGGCTAATGCCGTTCGGGTTCATGGTTCGGGCCAAGCACCCCAAGCGACTCGATCGAATGATTTACGCCTCTCGAGCTATGATGGCTACGGTCAAACAACCGCCCTCAGTCCGTGGCGCTCGCACCGCGACATGCCGCCCGAAAATCGCGGCTTTTGTGACTACTACACACATGTAGGTCACTGCACGATAGATTGCACGAAGCTTTCTCGTGAATTCGACCAAAATGCGGTGCGACGCGATTTTGTCCTCCTACCCGGATGGGTGGCGATCCCGCCAGGACAACTCCCAACGCACGGCGGTGATCGACGAAATTAACACGGTCAGGGTAGTGAACGTTTCCACCCCGACAAAAAACCCACCAATCACCCACGCTGTGGTCGTGGAGATGGCTGTGGCGGTCGATCAACCCATCAACAAGTTGATGTTGGTGCGTTGCTCAATGCACTCCAACATGTCCTTGCCCATAGCCCATAGCGATGAACACCGAGGCGGCCTCTCCCAACGTGGTTATGACCACGGCAGTTATTCTAACCGTGGCTACGCCCAAGGCAGCCATTTCCAACGAGGACATGCCCAAGGCGGCCAACAAAGAGTTGCGTCTTCGAGCCGACACGATCAACGTGATGAAAGTCCGTTTCGCCACCACAACGAGCCACTCGCACGATCGGCCCGCTAAGTCTTTCAATGATGGTTATCATTGTTTGGCTCCTCCAGAGCTCTACCCCGTCCAAAATCACCGGTGAAGCCGTAGTCGCGGCACCCACCAAGGCAGCCCCGGTGAAAATACCGGAGAAAACGACCATTATAGTCGTAGTCGTAGCGTAAATCGCAGCGACGCTTGTCGTCAACCTGACCAGACTCGTTACTTCAGTCTTCATGAACCGGCGCATTTGCCAAAATTTACATTTTTTCATGACAAAGAATCATTGCCTAGATTTTCTACACCTAGATTAAATGAGACTCAATCGGCACCATTGCCTAGATTACATGAGATTCAATCGGCATCATTGCCTAGGTTAACGACACATTGTGAACAACAAAAACATGTCTCGTTTTTGGTTCTACAACAGTCCACCCACACTTCAAGTATAATTCCAATAATACTTTCGAAAATACTAAAAGACTTTACAGTTAGTCACAGCTATTGTCTGGGCACTTCGTGTGTCACCGACTAGTCATTTAGTTCAACAACAACTAGATTCCTGTCTATGGACAGTGAGGGATAAAATATTGCCACATAAGAATTGCTAGGATCACATAGAAATTGCTGAGAGCCACATAAGAATTGCTCAATCGCACGTAGGTTTTGCTGAAATATGAGATTTGCTGAATTGAATATCGAGTATGTTACACAGCGAGATCCAATTCGACAGGCAGTACGTTATGAGAATTTCCGGACACAGGTGACTATGAGCAATGTGATTGGTTATTAAACTCACATTTCAATGTGATTGGCTATGGTAAATAAATTCAGAGCATGTGATTGGCTATTTCTCCCTAAGATTCGTGATTTCAGGAGTGGGAATACGTAGCTGTACCTACTAAAATTAGATCTGTTCAGTATTGAGTATGGGATGATAGTATCGGCGTGTAACGGATATTTACTCATTGAGCTGTTTGTTCGCTGTTACTGCTCCGGAGGTGTGTGGTCAAATAGTTTAGAATTTGCTACTAGTATCTTCGTTTATACTTGGCGCGCGTGGAACATCATTATGGGCCACTACCCTTTATGTATGGACAAGTTCAAATGCATAAAAGAATGTAATCTTGACTAAGATGGGAATTATCTCACCTGACTACTCCAGGCATTAACATGATGACTCTGAGTACCATAATTTATCGGCATTCTTTACACAATTCTACTCTAATTCAGCTTATCTAAAAAAATATTACACCAATGTTCTGTACACAATGGAGTCCCAAACTATTGTACTTGCAAATATTATGCTGCACAAAATACGAAATATACAAATGTATTATCGACCAAATTAGCCAACCAGCAACATGATATATCAGGCAACGTGCAAACGACGGCGACGACCGCAAACCTTATAATGGTGCTGGTCTTCAGTATATGCACGACTCGTATGGCTTGTCAGTCGTCGTGGAGGTGTTGTACTCATCCCTGGGATTCTGATCCCGACTTCGTTAGATACGTCCAAAACATGGCTGCAAATGGCGCCACAAAACCAAAGCAGACAATCGCACCGCAAGGCAGTTGGGTCTTCGGTTCGAACAACGATCCATCTACTCGCAGGTTGTTCATGCAATTCGAACAGAGCAAGGTTCCTTGCAAGGGGCGCCCAGTCAAGAGGAAGGGGTAGATGCATGCCTATGTCATATCATCGCCCGCGTCCATTACCTGTGATTCGTGGCGGACATGCCAACGCCCGGGACTTGGCGTGGCACGACACGAACAGCGAGAGCGCCACGTGATAGCAGTCAGTTGAAGTTGGTCTTCATTCTGATGAACACAGTTGACTTCTTACCCAAGGTTGTTCGAGCTCGGACTCGAACTTGAGGATTGCAAAAGGGGTACAACATGGAGTTTGGATTGGCCAATAGACTACAAATGACATTATCAATTGTATTATGAGAATTGTCGTACGTCTTTCAAATCGCAGTTGGAGTTCTCGGTGGGATTGTTGGTGGACGAGCTGCCAGGTAGACTGTGGTACACTTGCCACTTCCAAAAGCGGACATCGTCAGGTCCACCGTACGCACGGTTGTACGGCAGCCATTGGCTGAAGAAGTAACGTGAACTCTCGATGATGAGCCGAACTTTCGAAGATAGGCCGAGCAGGTTTACCCAATAGAAATCCAGATTTCATTGGATTGGATAAAATAGATCACTCCAAAACGTAATACCTTTATTACCTTGTGCAGCATTGTTGATGAAAGTATAGTCAAATTTGCCTCCAATATACGATACTTGTGTAAACATTATATACCTCTATAAATTGTTTTTTGAGTATGCAACACCTCAACTACTCAATAGTTTAAACAAGTATGTGAATTGGCCTATCATCGAGAGTACTGTTTGAGTGTCCCATTTCAATAATGTATTTGTCTAAGTTCGAACTATTTAAATTGATTTGCAATCGAATCATCTAATAGAGGATGAATCAGGGATTTTGAAAATACAACTTTCATGAAGTGTCTCTTTAAACTGAACGAGATATGGGCAATTGAAGGGGGCTCAAGTTCGGTTGATCATCGAGAGTTCACGTTAGCGCCGAAAGTTTCGGAGGCCCCGGCTCGTCACCCACTTGTCGTACACCACCTCCATTACCAGGTCCACACGACGTACTGACATATGCAGCAGATAGATGTCGAACGAGACATCTCGCCATTCTTCCTTCGTCAACTCAGTACGCATTTCATAGCACTCTATACAGGGTGAGTCGTATGCAATGATATCAGGCATAGGTGAGTCATACTCAATTAATTTCAGAGATACCTTTTTGATGACGTGGTAAAAGCACATGAGATATTCTATCTCTGGCAGCTGCTGGTGCATGGCTGTCGTCATTCCGAGGTACTGAGCCTTATCGGTGTCACCCATGAACAATCGTGGCTCCCACGCAAAGTTGAGTTGGTCTTGAAATTCTTCCTTCAGTGACTTTAACAACCAGGTCACGTCGTCATGAGTTCTTTGTGATGTGATGCAAATGCAGAGCACATGGAAGGGGCAGCCATGTCAGAGTACCCAACTACGAATACTAGGAACCCTGACTTGTTAGTCGAAAATGCCGTGTCGACATGGCACAAGATCTTGACGCGGGGGACATGTGGTGTCGCCCCTGCAACGATTGGATTTTGAGTGGCCGACAGCCGCTACGATCAGCAGCATCCAACCTTCGACCATGGAAGGGGGAGGGATCCCCCCAAACAGCGTGGATTGGGACGACGACTCCCATTTTTACGTGGAACCAGACGGACGAATCTGGACCCCAGACGGTGCTGTTGACCTACAGGAGCGGATTTGTGTGATCGCTCACCAATGAGCCAGCTGTCACCGTCGAATCACAGCGACAACCAAGTCGATGTCCGACAAGTTTGTGTGGAAGACGCTTTCCACGGACGTCGAAGCGTTCGTGCGTGCCTGTTTGCACTGCCTGTGCATTGACGGAGACATGGCTCCCCGTCCATTGGGTTCGGCGCTTCACGCGGAGAAGCCGAACGAGCTCATCCATTTCGACTGATTGTCGATGCCCATGTCCAAGTCTGGCCAAAAACAAGTGCTTGTCGTGAAGGACGACATGAGTGGCTTTGTGCAGCTGTTCGCGGCAGAGTCCGCTGACTCCGCAGCGACCGCTCAGTGCTTGATGAGGTGGTTTACCACGTTCGGCTGCGTTGACACTTGGGGGTCAGATGGCGGCTCTCACTTCAAGAACGATGTGATCGAGAAGATGCGGAAGTTGGTGGGTACCCACCATCACATCACGACAGCCTACAGTCCTTGGATGAATGAACGAGATTGTAGAAAGTTGTCAACCGACTAGTGCTGTGCGCCGTGAAGGCGCTGCTCAGAGAAATGAAGCTGAACGCGGACGAGTGGCTGCATGTGTTGCCCCTCGTTCAACGTGTCCTCAACCATCAGCCGGCGGACCGGCTGGGAGGAATTGCACCTGTGACAGCGATTAACGGCCTACCAGCCAAGACCCCGCTGGCTGGATTTTCCACCCGACGTGCAAGGAAGTCTACGTCGCGGACGTCGCGGACTGGCTTGACGATGCCCGTGAGAAACAGGTGATGGTTTATTTTTCGCACAGGGCCACATCAAAATCAAAATGCTTTTGCTGAGTGCCTCGAGCAGCACAAAGCTCTCAGTACCTATACCATAGGCCATCATGCACGTAGTGCTATCAGCTCTCAGTACTACATGTATGATGGCCTATCCGTTTGTTGTAACTGAAAGAGTTTGCACCTTGTACATACAACAATGCCACTCTTCGGATCCAAGGATGCCACGAGAAATTGGACGTTTATGTAGCATATTTTTCTTCTATTCATTTTTCGTAGTGGTAGTAGACAGCATTCACGCGCATCTTTATTCCACCATAATAGGTCAACATAGAACTGGTCGTGCCTATAGTTATGAACAACATGGTTCGTGTAGCACGCCCGTGGGAAGGCAAGCCCATGTCTGCGTGAACAATGCTGGTCCCACCTCTGAGGGCATCACTCAGCGGTGGGACCAGCTGAAGAATGTGTGAAATTGATCCATTATTGGTCGAGGTAAAGCAAGTCGTGTCTGTAGTGATGTCCTCTGCATGTCGTTTAGCATGCCCGTGGAGAGGCGAGCTCATGCCTGCGTGAACGCGGCTGGTCCCACCTCTGAGGGCATCTCTCAGCGGTGGGACCAGCCGAAGAATGATAGAAATTGGACTAGTTTCGTCGAGATAGTGTATGTCATGACTGTAGCGATAACCGATGCCTGCCATGCAGCACGTCCGTGGGGAGGCGAGCCCATGTCTGCGTGAATAAGGCTGGTCCCACCTCTGAGGGTATCACTCAGCGGTGGGACCAGTCGAATAATGAGTGAATTAGGACCAGTAAGCTTATTCGTCGTAATAGAGCAGGTCATGTACAGTATGTAGTGGTAGCGCGATGTGATGTCGTCAGTATATCCATTAGGAGGTATGGCCGTGTCTGTGTGTGCAGGACTGGCCCCACCTCAGAAGACATCTCTCAGCGGTGGGGCCGGTCGAATAATGACTGCAATTGGTCCTGTATTGGCCGAGATAGAGTGATTAGATGGCGTGCTCTCACCAGCGACGCGAAGATGCCAAGTAGCATGTTTGTATTAGCTTTCAAAATGGTTCGATACAATAGCTTATGCATCTCAACATATTTACACGCGCAAGTCCCCCGATTCGATATAGCTGTTATTGAGAAAACACGCGTAATTCCCCCACTTTTCATAACACACGTAAACCCCCCAAAAAGCATGCGTGAAAACACTTTTTCCTGCTTGCACACGCCACTTCGCCAGCAACCAAATACTACGTAGTACCTAGTATACGCTTTGTCGCGTTGCCTGCGATATAATATGCAAATTACTGTACTACATAGTATGGTTCACCTACCTCGTGCACGTAGCTTTTCATGTACGTGCACGAGGTAGGCGAGCGACGACAGGCAGTAGCGTCTACAACATGCAGTGGCATTTGTTGTGTGCACAGGGTGCAAACTCTTTCAGTTACAATGATCGCAAGACCATCATGCATGATGTACTGAGAGCTGATAGCACTACGTGCATGATGACATATGGTAGAGGTTCTGAGAGCTTTGTGCTGCTCGAAGCAAACAGCAACAGCATTGTGATTTTGATGTGGTACCTTGCGTATACAGTAGGTTATTTGGCTCTAAATCTGACCTAATTATTATCACCCCAGTGGGCTGGTGGTAGCGCGTCAGCTTAGTGTGCCGAAGGTCACGGGTTCCATGACTCATGCAGTCTTCAGTTTTTTGCAGTATTATTTATTGATGGCTTATTTTCCGCACAGTTGGTCATAAACCTTGCATTCTCTATCCACTCCGGGTGTCGACGTCTGCCTGCACACCTGACTTGCAGATTACATATATTCTCTAACATTCGATGCAGGACGTCTTCGTCACTGCGAATCTCATATGTTTTCTATTGTAGTGCAATACCGGAAGGTACAAATACCCGCATATCCCGCAGGATGGATGTTCCTTACACAAAGTCGGACATTTGTGGTCCAGTAAAGCAAACTGGAATATATGGTGTTACGCACAACATAAGGTACGGATGTACGAATGTTGACGATCACTCGTCATACAGGGGGTGCTTCGTGTTTGAGAAGACGAGTGATGTGAAACAACAAATAGAGGACATTATCCTGAGAATTCAGCGGGTAAATGGTACAGCCATTAAGCAGATAAGATCTGATGGTGACACTGAATTCAACAATCAGAGCCTAAACACGTTCTTTAAGGATCTGGGTATAGCATACCAAATGTCTAACCCTTACTACAAAGAGGAGAATGGTAGTGCAGAAAGGGACTTTCAGAATAAGTTCACTAAGATTAGGTGTGCGTTACTGGATGCCAGTTTACCGGCCAAGTGGTGGCCTGAGGCATTCCATTATGTGACGTATATGCAGAATAGGACTCCTATGACCCGATTAGGTAATAGGACTCCGTATGAGGTAATCTGCGACTAATTCCCCGACAGCAGGGGGTGCCTACCTTCAAAACTCCCCAGATCTACCTTCTTTGGGGGAATTTTGGAATAACGGATATTCGTCCGAATAATCTTATTTCTTGCACAGATAAGAACAGTGGTACGCATCGTCAGGACCATTAAATCTATCCGCATGCTCATAATTTTAAACGTTGTGGTGACGATGGACAACATTTGCAAATACACCACTACAGTATGAGTGGCTTCGTTTCTGACGAGTACTTGCTTCTAGCCGTAGAGATGAACTTCACAAGGCCTCCTGAGAGCGAACACGACTACGTCTCAAAAAGTGTTTTGAATTCTGTAAAAGGTCACGACTTCGGGCATTTGAAGGAGTGCATGAACACTTTCAGTTTGAAGCAAGGCTTTCGCCTTCGCCAGAAGTATCGAAATGCGATAACAGCAAAGTGGATTTGTTCTACGGAGAGTTGCGAGTTCTTTGTTCGATCTTCTGTGAGATGTGATAAGGTTGCGTCTATCACATCGATGAATTTGATGCACAATCACTCACTTTTTTAAAGTACGGGGGTGAAATGTCACCCTGCTGTTTCAAAAGGGTTGGTATGTTGTATTATTTGTAGTAGTACTACATATTGTTAAACATCTGAAACAAATGAAACTCATAAAACTATTCGATAGTGGAAACACTTCAAACACAAGGGAACATTATGGAACTCGTTTCCGATCCACGACGACTAACCGGCAAGCAAATCATTAGCCACTTTCAGCGAGCAAGCGGCGAAACGATATCGACATCATCGTCAAGTCGTGCCAAGCGAGAACTCGTGAAACATCTGTACGGGTCAGTGGACATGGCGTTTGAGAAAGTCGGGAGCTACTTTGAGCTCCTGAAGGCGCACAATCCAGGGACGTTTGCGCTTGTTGAAACAAGATTGGGATCATTCTACCGCAGCGCGCTCATCCCGAGGTTCTGTATTAATGCTTTTGAGTACTGTCAGAATGTTATCGCGCTTGACGGTAAAGCTGTGTAACTTTATTTACAAACATTCATGTATTGACGTTTCATTTAGGAGCCCATTTAAAGGATCTTATGAAATCAAATGGAGTTATGCTTTTGCAACAACCAAAGATCCCAACAATCATCTCATCGTATTGGGTACGTTGCGATTAAACTACAGCATATACTTATATCAATTAGGGATTGCTGTCGTACCAGTCGAGAACGGCGAGCATTGGGCTTGGTTTTTGCGATGCTTGAAAGACGCTGGACTTCCGCTGTCAAGCACTGTCCTTGTGTCCGATCGTTTAAAAGGTATTTGAGAGTTGAAAGTTTCATACATTTCACATTATTCATAACTTGTATCATTTGTTCTATATTTATAACTTTCAGAATTTGTAAATAGATTGGTTGTGTAGGTCTCACCAACGCCTGCAAAGCGGAATGTCCTGGCGTTCCACACAGATACTGCTTGCGCCATATTGTTGCCAACATCAACACGGCGCAAGGACGGCACCTGTCCAGTACCGAAGAAGGCTTTGCGTTCAAGTTAGCTCGATCCGACAGCCATGAATCGTTTGCACGGCACATGGAAAAACTACGAGCGCTAAACCCTGGTAAATAACACACAAATCTATTGATTAACTTATTGTAATGACTAATAGGTGCTGCCGACTATTTGTTGACAATCCCTTTCGAACATTGGGTGACATACGCGTTTCCGTGGACCATGTTTGGCAATGTCACATCAAACATGAGCGAGTCAGCGAACCAGTGGTTGGGGACTGAGCTCCGCAGTTCGGATGCTGTAATGTTGCATTTCCGTTACATGCTACATCTCCTAAAGAACATTAACGAGCGAAGGTATTTGTTCAACACTTTAGTGCATATCATAAATTACATATGTTTTAGTACTTCTATAACTTATATAACTTGCATAAGGATTAGATTTTCTAAAAGTTGTGCATGATCTTGTCTAGTTCATATTTAATGCATGCCATAACGTAGAATCAAGAGTGCGAAGTGGCCTGAGGGATCGAGATCTCGAGGCAAAGACGTGTCAATGCCGCACGTGGTTCGACACGAAGAAGCCCTGTATCCATGCCATTCGTTGCTACAATGCCATGAAGCTGGATCCGATGTTGTACTTTGACGACGTATACTCGCGACTCGTTTTAGGCTGCTGTATGCGTCGCATGTTGTGCCAGTGCCACCACAAGACCTCGACAGCGATCCTCGCTCACAGGCTGCAAGTGTTTGTGGAACAGACTTGAACCCATCAAAACCCGGTCCGAAGACGAGAAAGCGTAAACGGTCAAACAGAATGCGTAGCTAGGAGCGCCTAATGTAGTAATTTTTTCGTCACTAAGCTCTTTGTTTAGAGTAAATGCTGGATATTAAACTACTTAAATGTTAACAAAATTCCAATGCTGAAGTATAACTAGAGTGTCTATAACTTTTAAAACATTTATGTAGTTGTGAAAACTGTAGAATAGCTAGACATTATATAACTATAATTAGAATTTCTATAACTTTTAAAATATATATTGTTCTGGATAATATAAAATACCTAGAGATTATACAACTTACCCTTGGACGCGTAGAACTTTCACAAATTGTAGAAGTAGTACAAAGTAGTACAACATATAAGAGTTGTACAAAATGTGTATAATTTACACGAAATAGTTTTCAACTTCATAAAAAGCAAATGTATTACTCCAATCATAGCAATTGTTTTGCCATTCTGGCCAAGAGTCGGTCAACCATGGCATCATCGTCCAATGGTACTGGGCGCTTTGGTGTGGGTGCTTCCAACTCGGCACCATCCGAAACGGATGAAACAGCGCGCTTTACAGGGGGTACTAACTCATCCTGTTCGTTGTCGTCGCCGTCCACGGCGTAATCGTCACCAGAAGGCTGCTCGCCATCTTCGAAGTCGCCCGAATCGTCATCACGGTACCCCAAAAATGGCTGCAACAGCTCATTTGAATTGCCGCCCAGCTTGCGAGAAACGAAAAGCAATAGCCGAAGCGTCCCCACGCCAACTGCATTGTTCCTGGCCAGCGGAATTGAAATGTCGTGATCTGCTTGGTTGATCAGGCTTCGCGTTCCTGGGGGGTCAAAAATGGGCTTGGCGTCGTTGCACTTTGTCGACGGCCCGGGCATCTGCATTTCACCATTATCGTTTACTTCGCATCCCCAGATCTTACGAATGTTCCGATGTTCCGGAACGTGTTTGTGCTTTGCCTTTACGTGGCTTGGAAAGTGCGTGTACGAAGTGATGAAACCACACTCGTCCACCATGCACTTGATCTTGTTCGGCTTCGCACTCATAACAGAAATGGTTTATACCGTTGGTGGTGGCCAACGTTCTTATCTGTACAAGAAATTAGATTATCCGGACGAACATCCGTTGTTCCAAAATTCCCCCAAAGAAGGTAGGTCTGGGGAGTTTTGAAGGTAGGCACCCCCTGCTGTCGGGGAATTAGTCGGTAATCTGCGGAGAGGAGCCAGATGTGAGTAACCTGTACATATGGGGGAAGGGTGTGATACGATCACGTGCCGCAAGAAGTCAGAGCTGATAAGAAGCTCTCAGCTAGGGCAATTAAATGTCGGTTGCTAGGAGTATCTGAAACCTACAAAGTCTACCGACTGTGGCTAGAGCACGAGAATAGATTCATCGTGATGTGAAGTTTGACTCAGTGATCAAAGCTTAGTGTGTGAAGGGTCATTTAACGTTAAGGTGAATAAAGTGACTATATATGAGATTGAGGAGGTCAAGGACCTGGATATGCATGGTGTCATGCCAGTATCTACCTCTAAGCAGGACCAGACCACTCAAACAGACGTGTATGACGCAAGGACGATAGACGTATCGAAACCTGTAAGATGTAATATTGCGTCAAAAACCTCTAAGGGAAATAGAAAGAGAAAGATTATTCAGGAGAACAGTTTTCACAGCAGTGAAATGTCCTCAAGGTTATCAGTGTCAAGAAGCAAGAAACAGGAGGTAGGCGTAGGTGATAGGCGTGTAGCAACTTTGCGCAGAGTGTCCAAGACAAACCAAGTGTGCGGGACAGGGGAAAACAAAAAGTGACATTCAGTCGTTTACAAACTATCTAGCTTCGTTCCTTTGGCTAAAACTCAGCCAAAGGGAAACACTGACCTGTGAGAATCAGCGCTCTTTTCCTTGTGCTAGAGCCGTGATTGGGTGAGCAATCACTAGGGTAGGGTTGCGACATGAAGAATATGCAGAACATGCAGGTATAAAGCGGCCACTGTCTCGGCCTGTCAGAGTTGATAGACTAGGCGATAGAGTTTGGGAGAAATAGGCGAGGACAAAAGGCGTGAACATAGGCGAGGGAAAAGCACCACTTGACAGCCACCACTTTTCACAAGCCGAAAAATGGGCACGCCTTTGAACGGGCAGCAGGGCTCACAAACAAAGCAGAAAGCAGACACACGCCACCATGAGCCATGAGTGTCCGCGAAAAAGGCGTAGGGTAGATGTTGAAGATGTAGGCGTGAAAAGTACAAGGAGGAGAAGAGACTTGAGTGGAGGGAGGGAAAAGTAGAAGAAAATGCACAAGGCAAAAAATAGGTTAGGCTTGGTAGGCGTGGATGGTAATGCGTGGATGGTAAGGCGTGGATTGTAAGGCGTGGATGGTAAGGCGTGGAGGTGTAGATGGTAAGGCGGAATAAGATAGAGAAAAAAAATTATTGCGGGAGGCGAAAATGACTTAGATTTGCTAGGCGTAGACGGTAAGGCGTGGTAAGAGAGGAAATAAAGAAGGAATGTGGGTGGTAGGCGTAGTAAAAGAAATGGAAGGAGCAAGGTAGGCGAAGAGGAGAAAAAGAAAATAGATGGTAGGCGTAGAAGAAAAAAGAGAGAAAAGAAAAAAAAATATTGGGGGTGTAGGCGACGATAAGCGCTGACAGAGAGAAGAAAAGAGTAGAAAAAAAATATTTGGAGAGATTGGCGACGATAGGCGCTGATGAAGAGAAGAAAATAAAGTAAGATAGGATAGTATAGGCGGGAAGGCGTAGAGTAGAGTTGTGAATAAAAAAAGATGTATTGATAGGCGTTTGAGATCACATAGTGAAGGTGGAGAGGGGAATGATGGAGAGGCGTGATCGTAGATCGGCAAAGGCGGGTGCCGGTAGAGGTTTGGTGAAGAAGTCAGCAAGTTGGTTGCCAGAGCTGCACCACTTGAGCTGGAATTCGCTGGAGTCCACAAGGTCATGTACAAACATGTAGCGGACGTCGATGTGCTTTGAACGGCCGTGGAGTTCGGCGTTGGTAGCGATCTTGATGGTAGACTGATTGTCTTTATGTACGACGACAGGTTGATCAGACGTTTGCTGGAGTTCGGGGGCGAGTTGACGTAGGTATAGAAGTTCTTGAATGCATAAGGCGAGAGCAACGAACTCAGCTTCCGTGGTGGACAGAGTGACGAGGGGTTGCTTCTTGGCAAGCCACGACACGGGTGAGCCGAAAAAGAGAGTAAAAAATCCACTGATGCACCGTCGAGTGTCAACACACATAGCATAGTTCGCATCGACGTAGGCGGAGAGAAAAGGGAAATCGTCGATAGAGGCGATGCCACCAAGGCGGATACCATAGATGCGGGTGCCTTTGAGATAACGAAGGGCACATTGGACGGCAGACCAATGAGTAGGGCCAGGGTTGTGGAGAAACTGACTAGGTTGTTGGAGAGTGTAGGCGAGATCGGGTCGAGTGCCCATAGCTAAGTACATGAAGCTGCCGACGACAGAGCGATAGTTCTTGCCGATCATAAAGGCGAAGTAGTGAGGCGTCGTCGCACAATGGAAGGCTGGGGTTAAAAGGCGTAGAAACTGGGTTGCAGTTCACCATGTCAAAGCGGTCCAGGATGGCTTCGGCGTAGCGAGATTGGTGTAGAAAGATGGTCTTGGCTGCTCGGTTGCGTTCGACTTGCCATCCCAAAATGTCGGAGACTTCGCCAAGGTCTTTCATGGCAAACCGTTGAGAGAGGGAAGCCTTCAAGGCGAGGACGAGGGAAGAGTAGGCGCAAGAATAAGTAGATCGTCCACATAGAGGCTGACAATGGTGAAACCGGAGGCGTCGGACTTGATGAAGACGCAGCGGTCATTGTGTAGGCGGGTGTACTTTTGGGATGTCATGTAGTCGACAAAGGGCCAATACCATAGGTTAGGCGCTTGTTTGAGGCCGTAGAGGCTGCGTTTTAGGCGACAGACGAGTTCGCGGCGAGAGACGTCGGTCACGAGGTCGCCAGGCGGCTATTCCATGTAGACGACGCGGTCCGTTGAGAAAGGCGGTCTTGACGTCCATTTGATGACACTCAAGGTCGTAGATGGCCACCATGATGAAAAGAAAACGGAGAACTTCAAGGCGTACGACAGGCGCAAAGATGTCATCGTAGTCAACGCCTTCGCGTTGCAGAAAACCTTTGATAACTAGGCGTGCTGTACGTGCCGTTGGGCTTGATACGGAAGACCCATCGGCAGGGTAGGACTGTCATGGACTTTAGGCGTGGAACAAGATCGTACGTCTTGTTGTCGTGAAGGGACTGAAATTCGTCTTGGGCGGCGGCACGCCATTTGTCACGATCGGAACGGCGCATGGCTTCCTGCCAGTTTTTAGGATCGGAAGAGTCAGAGGGTAGGCGGGCACTGAGTAAGGCGTATAGATGCCATGGCGGATAAAGGGGTGGATCGAGAGGTTGGGTAGGCGCCGAGAGAGGCGGGAAAGGGTAAGGGTAAGGCGGTGGTGGGAGAGTAGCAAGATCATCGATTGAGATGTCAACAATGGGTAGATGAGAGGCGGATAGACAAAACGGAGTGACTGGTAGTGTAGGCGTTGGAGTGGTGCGGCTGTGATGTTGGGCAAGTAGGATGGTAGGTGGATGGAAAAGTGGACTGCTATATGGTAGAGCAAGTTGGAGTTCGTCAAAGGCGGCAGACAGAAAGTAAATCTGGGGCGGAGACAATTAGTCTGTGGTAGGTGGTGGAGATGTTGAAGGAAGCGGGGGAAAAATGGTTGGATCGAGGCGAGTAGAGTAGGGCCATGAGGTGTAATGCATGGAATGTCGGATGCATCACGGGCACGTAGGCGAAATGCTGCTGCAGCTTGGATGGTGTTGATGGGTGGGAATTCATCTTCGTGGAAAACAACATTACGGGAGTAAATAAGTTGGTGGGAGTAGGCGTTGAGTAGTTTGTAACCCTTGCGATCATCGGGTAGGCCCACGAACATGCACTTGATGGCACGTGCATCGAGTTTGTTCGTTTGGTTAGCCTTTTGGATATGAACGAAGGCGGTGCAGCCAAAAGTGCGGATGTAGGCGAGGGGCGGATGCCGGGAGAAAACTCGATGGTAAGGCGACTGACTGTCGTTCGAGGTGGAAGGCGAGATGTTGTAGAGCCAGGCGGAGTAGATAACAGCTTCGGCCCATAGAAACCTGGGGAGATTGCCGGCCAGTAAAAGCGCTCGCATCTTCATAACGAGTAAGCCAATGCGGCGTTCGGCCACGGCGTTTTGGGCAGGCGAATAGGCGTTGGAAAATGTGGTCTTGGTGGAGTACTTCGATCCGATGATGCGACCGAGTTTCTCGAATTCCTTGGCATTGTCGGCTTGTAGATTGCCGATGTCGGTAGGCGGTAGGTATTGGAGAGTGTTGATGTCGGACTTGAAAGTTGTGATGGCTTGGAGGTGAAAGAGTTTGTAGGCGTCATAAAGATCCTTGCGGAAGGCGAGAGGGTAGACCCAGGTAAAACGGGAGTAGTCTTCGATAAACACGACGAAGTAGATGCTGCCACCAATCGATGGCACTGGGTACGGACCCCAAATGTCGGTGTGGACGAGAAGGAGGAAGGAGGAGGCGCGGAAAACGGCTGCGGAGGAAAACTGTTGTCGACGGGACTTGGCGAATTCACAAGTATCGTAGGTGAAGGATTTTAAAAGGCGTGGGCGATCGGTAGAGTAGTCGGGGTGGGTCTTGACAAGGCGTTGGAGAACGGTGGAGCTTGGGTGTCCTAGGCGGTTGTGCCAAAGACGGAAGAGAGCGTCGTTAGATAGGCGGGTGTTTGAGGTGGTCGCAGTAGCCAGGACAAGAGAAGGCGTCGTAGGTGTTGAAATTGTAGGGGGAGGCGTAGATAGAAGAGGTTTGTTGGTAAATGGAGAGATGGGAGTGGACTGGTTTGGAGTGACAACGTTGGAAGTGGGGGACAAGGCGTGTATGGAAGGAAATTTCGAAGTGCCGGATAAACAGGAAATAAGGGACGAGGCGTTGGGATGAGGCGTTGGGGTTGGGGGAGAGTGTGGTGGAAGGCGG